TTTAAAATAAATATATTATATTATTATAAAGTTATCAACCAAAAAATATAAAACACGTCATTAAATAAAAGTGACACTAAATATTATCATGAGAAAATGAATATTTAAATACTAATTTATTATTATTATTATTATTATTATTATTGTTATTATATCAACTGGATCAAATTATAAGTCAAAATTTCATTATTCAACCTGTATAATTTTGAATTTTTGGCGGGTTAAATCTAACTAAAAGCTAAAAGATTTAATCCAAAGTCATTGATTTGAATTCAAAAGATTTGTTGTACCGTTTACACCTTCCGGCGATGTTTTGAATCTATTTAATGCTTGACTGACCAAATTATGGAATTGGTGCCGAAGATGGTCATGTCTCGTGCTACTTTGCCAACAATGGAGTACATATGGGTGGGCCTCCTACTCAACTCATGTCTCCAAGTTGGGCCAATATGGGTTGCGTAAGTCTTTTTTATTTTCTAAATAGAAGCACACTGTTTCAAACAAAGTGCAAAACCCAGTTCACAAAGACCTCGTGACTCTTTTAACCAACACTTTTCTTCTCTTTGGTGAGCTAAGGGATTTATTGATGTTTTTAATCTATCTATCTTATTGTTGAGGAACCAACTTCTTTTTCTTTATCATCTGGAAATGGAATTAAAATAGCACATAAAGTATAGTTGAAATTTTGTCTCAAACATCTTACGTTAATTAATAATATGACAAAAATATAGTATATAAGTAAAAAATAATATTTATTTTATAAATTAATTTTGTAAGATTGAATAAAATTTAAATTAATTTTTTTAAAATGATATCAGAATTTTTCCTAATAAATTTTATATTAAACTTATCATATGACTTACTGTTCATAAATGCATAAATGCTCCCTTTTCTATAAGAGATCTAATAGTGTTGCGTTATGGATTTTTTTTTTCTTCTTGAAACATAATACTAATTCTCTCAACTTTCTCACTATATGGTTTTACACATTCAAAAAAAAACATAACATTATATTAATATCCTATATGACATAATAACAATTTATTGTCATGCATAAAATAGTTATTTGAGTTGAAATTTTCTATAAATTCTTGTAGATTACAATTAATTGTGATTTTTTTTTGCCAAAAATAAATTAAAATTATGATACTTAACTCCATTAATAATGTGATTAAATATAGCCAGTCTTGGGCACCTAATTTTAATATGTGTGGTAAACACCATAGGCCTAATCTCAAGGCCCATGATGAGAGATGACTGAAGTTAATTAAATAGTATAGTTAGATCTTCTTTGTTATCACAATAAAAAATAATTACTTTGTAGGTTTTCTCCATTGAAAATCCTAAAATATTAGAGTGTGTTCTAAAGTAAAGGAAGACTTGATTTATTGGTTGTAGAGACTTTAACAACACATAAAGAATTCATATAGGTACACTTAATTACCTTTTCAACAATATTCTTATAAAGTGTATTATTTATTAGTGTTCTGAATTCATATAAAGTGTGATTGGTTTGACTTGATTTATTGGTTGCAAGAACTTTAAATAAA